GGGAGGGTCAGAGGGAGAAGCAGACACCCTGCTGAGCAGGGAGCCCGATGCGGGACTCGATCCCGGGACTCCAGGATCATGACCTGAGCGGAAGGCAGTCGCTTAACCAACTGAGCCACCCAGGCGCCCTCTGCTGGGTTTTTATTGCTTTTAACACAAAATAATCTTTATGCCAAAGGGGCCCATCTTGGGGCTACCTGCCCTTGGCCCCTACACATATAGACATCTGTGTATACATCCAAGTTTATTCTCACTCCGTTACTGGGCCTAGCATCATCTCACTCTCTGCAACAGGGCTTATAGCCGGGCTAGGATTCATGATGATCCTCAGCAGGTTTGGGGTGGGGGGAGGTGACCTGCAAATGGTAGTGGTAGTCAGCATTGGGCACTACCACTTCAGATGTCCTGTGGACTGGCCAAATAGTCAGAGTCTCCAGGTTCCATTGCACACAGCCTGGTACACGTCCACCGTGAGGGGCCGGAAGGCCTTGGCCTGGTTGTCCAACACGAACAAGGGATCAGCAATGATGCCTACATTGAAGCCCTCACGCGCCAAACGTGACTTCACCAGTTTGAATGTGCTTGTGATTGCCAGGGTGTCCTGCAGGGGCAGTAAGCATAACCCGACTGTGAGGCCCTGGCCAAGACCTCCCATCCACCTACTTCTGCCACCCTGAGCTCACCTGGATACGGATGAAATGGGGTGCAGCATAGGCAGGGAGCCAAGTGCGGACATGCTGGTACATCCTCTGACCATCGAAGGTCTGGCCGGGGACCAGCTGCACGGCAGCCATGCCCACCTTGCCCTCACAACCTGGGGAACACGCCAGTCATTCTCAGATCACCCAACTCACAGTGCCCATGGCTGACCCTCTCACTTGGCCCATCTCTGCTCACTGGCTGTACCCCAACAGCTCTCCCACCTGTAAAATCTGGAAAACACCCCTCTGCCCACAAAGCTGTTGGAGGTTTAAAATGAGGCAGATCCTCCACACCTGGTACAGACACACCGTAGACGTTCACCTCCTGCAGGAAGTCCACGAGTGACAAAACGCTCTCCACCTCCCGCGTGGACACGTTCTCACCTTTCCATCTGTGGGGTTGAATCCAATGCCAGTGAACGCAACCGTGGCAAAGCGGAGGCCCCGCCTCTTGCCCACCAAGCCCCTCCTCCTGCAAGATCTGATAGGTGGTTCTGCCCAACTCCGGCCCCTTCAGGACCGAGAAGCCACGCCCCTCTGGGTCCGGAAGTCCCGCCTCCTCAGCCTGGCTCCCTCAAAGGACCAGGAAGCCCCTGCCACCCGTTCTCCCAGTCCCGTCCGGGACCCGACCGGAAGGTGTCCCCGAGGCGGTCGCGAAAGTAAAGGAAGCCTTCTTCGTCCATGGTCAGCACGTCGCCGGTGTTGAAGTAAACGTCACCCCTGCGCCGCACATTCCGCACCAACTTTCGTTCCGACAGCTCTCGCGCCCCGCGGTAGCCCACGAAAGGTTGGTGGCTCAAGACCTGGGTCAACAGAAGCCCCGCTTCCCCTGGGGGTAGGAGTTGGAATTAGGGCATTAACCATGGCCAAGAACGGCACAACCCACCAGCCCCCGGCCGGGGGTTACCAACCATGGTGAACTCTTCATCACCGAGACCCTGCCAAAGAAGAGACAGAGAGAGTCCTAGAGATAAAGATGGGGGAGGGGAGACAGAGACTGGGAGACAGGAGACATTGGGGGGCCCACTAGAAATAGAAAGAGGATAACAAGGGAAGGACACGGGACAGAGACAAATGGTGGTGGGAAGAAAGAGATATGGCCAAGACCGCGCATGGCCCCAGGAGAGAAGACCCTAGGAGAAGGTACTGGACAAGAGACTGATGCCTGGGAGGACATGGCTTCCACAAATGGACACCCAGAGACCCAGTAAAGCAAGAGATTGAGGCAGAGGAGCCAGGCAGAGCTGAGAAGCTGAGAGGCAGAGGGTCCCAGGCAGTGGTCAGACGAGGTGAGGGCAGCAGACACCACCACTGGGCACTGACCTCAAGGCTTTGGGCAGCTTGTTCCAGCCAAGGACCAGATGGCCCCCGCCCTTCCCACACCCAGGGAAGGTTTCCCAACCCTTGTACCTGGCCCCACAGGGACACACAATCCCTGATTGTCCCTGACAGGCTCTTCGGCCTCCGTGTCGAACTGTACAAGCTCAAAGGGGGACAGCATCTGAGTGGAGGGTGGGGAAGTGTCAGTAGAGGTCCTGTGGGCTCAGCCTCAATCAGGGCCACCGTCCCACCCAACCCACTCACTCGAAGCAAGCAGCTTATCTTGCCCAGGGCCCCACAGCGCCCTGGATAGTTGACGAAGCCAATGTTGCCTTCTGTAGAGCCATAGCTTTCCAAGATCCGAATGGGGCCAAAGCGCTGCTGGAAGGACTTCCACACATCTGCCCGGAGTCCATTGCCCATTGCTAAGCGGACTGTATGTGTCTGGTCCTCTGGTCGCTGCAGGGACATCCCAAGAAGGGTGAAGAGGAGTGTGCCCTAGAACCCTTACCTAGGAAGGCTATCTCTTGGTCTTTACCTGAGGAATTACCTGGGAGGTGATTGTGGGGGGGCATCTATACCTAGGAAGTCTACCAAGGGTTCTTACTTGAGAGTAGTTACCTGGAGTCTGTACTTGGAGGGTTACCTGCAGAGGTTACCTGGGGGTAAGTTACCTAAAAGCCTTACCTGAAGGGATACCTAGGGGTGACTGGAGGCCTTATCCAGGGCTTACCTAGAGGAAATATCTAGGATCTTATATAGGGGTAGTACCTGGAACTTTTACCTGGGGGGAGGTTACCTGGAGGGGTTACTTAGGGGCCTTTACCTGGAGGTAAACTGGGGAGTGACTTGAAGTTTCACCTTGGGGAGACACCTTGGGGCCTTACCTGGAGGTAGTTACCTGAAGCATTTTATCTGGGATCCATACCTCATTGCTGATAAGTTCACATCTAGTGAGTTTACCCCGAATCACCCTTTGTTCTAGGCACTTTATATATGTTTTATTCTCACAAATACCCCCTTTGAGTTATTATCCTCATTTTCCAAATGAGGACATTGAGGCTGAGAGAGGTGAAGTCACCTGCCCAAGGTAGCACTGCTGATCATCATAGAAGCCATGATTGGAAACCTTGTGTGGGATGCGTTAACTGTGGCTGTTGCCTGGGGTGTTTTACCTAAGGGACCTTGCTTGAGTCCTGTACCTGAATCTCTCTGAAACCTTTACCTGAGATGACATCTAGGATCATACCTGAGGTGTTCACCATGGAGCCCTAATCTTAGCCCCTCACCTGTGGAGTGTTACACAGGTACCGCAGGACCTCACCCACATACAGGATCACAGTCACACCATGCAGCCGACAGTCATCCCAGAAGCGGGAAGCAGAGAACTTGGGGGCCAGGACACAGGTTGCTCCTGAGTGGGGAGAGGAAAGGGTTTCAGGTCATGCTTCCATGCCACTGTGATAAGCTGCTTTGATCACCTAGCTGTGGCCCTTTGAAGCACAGGATTTGGAGCTCATCTGTGTGTCCCTGACCCAGCTAGGACCACCCACATAAGAAGAGCATAGGTGCACATGGGTTTGCATTCTATCTCCAGAATGTGTACCAAGCTCAATGCTTGGTACAAAGTGAGCACTGCTAAATAAGGGCTATGAATATTAATCACTCTTGATTATGATAAATGTTTTATGAATGTCTAGCTGGGCAGATGGATTGGTGGTGGCATAGATGGATGGGTGGGTGGGTGAGGAGGTAGGTTAGTAGATGGATGCGTGAGTTGGTGGAAGGATGTCTTGAAGGATGGACACGTGGATTAATAAATTTTACAGGCCACTACTTATCACTCCAGGAAAGTGACCCTTTTTTAGCTGATCACCTCCTCTGCAGCTGGCTTTGTGGAAAGCACTCTCCCTACCTCAACCCTAATCCTCAAAAAACCCTGCAAGCTAAATATTATCATCCCTGCACCCAAAGGGACAATTGCTCGTGTGCCTGGTGAGGTAGCAAGTGTGTGTCTTCTTTGAGGCTGTATTTTTGGCAGGGAGGTAAAAAACAATGCCTTCTGTGTGAAAATGGATGCTGGCCTTGAAAGTGACAACTTTGTTTGCAACCCCTGATGAAATGCCTGATTCAGGAAAGGTCTTCAAGAGCTGGTAAAACCAGGGGGAAGGTTGACAGGGAGTTTTCCAATTAAAGCCCCCCAATGTGTAGATTTGTCTGATTGCTACATTGTACACCTGAAACTACTGTAACGTGTCAACTATACATACATACACACATACATACAGCTCCCCAATTCATCTTAGCCTCTCTAAGGTAGGGTAACAGTTATGAGCTGCCTTCCATGTGATGTGTTAGGAAGTATAATGCATCCCACCAAGGTTCTTGCCACCAATAATTGAACGGAATCTAACGTCTCTAGAGGAAATTTCCAGTCTAACAAGAAATGCAGGGGAAAGAGGAGCAGAGAACAAACAAGCAAGTACAGTGAGGGGACTTTAACTGTAAAAAGCAAAACAGAAAAAAACAATTAGACATGTCATTGGGGGAATTCAAACATGACCTGTGCATCAGATGATATTAGAGTTACTGTTAATTTTGTCAGATGTGATTATCACTATGGTGACAGTTCTTAAGTCCTTGTATGTTAGAGATACATACTGAGTACTTACAAACAAAAAGATACAGTGTCTAGGATTTGTTCTAAAATAATTGAGAAATAAAGAGGGGAATACATATGAAGAAAGATTGGCAACATGTTAACAATTGTCCAGGGTGGGTGAGGATATGTGAGACATCATCAAACTATTTTTTCTACTTTTGCTTTACTGTGTATGTTTGAAAGCAAAATGCTGATGGTGGCTGAAGCTGGATGGTGGGTACATGAGAATTCATGTAGAAATATTTAGAAATTTGTATGTGTTTCAAAGTTTGTTTTTATAAAAACTCAAAAAGAAAATACTGGAGAGTTCCCAGTCTGAATTGCTAGTCAGGTGTCCAGGAAGATAGCCCAATGGAATGCTTGGTGAACACCTAACCCTCACTGACCATCCCAGCACTCATATCAGCTTGTCACTTTCTGACAACAGCAAAGCCATTAGGGACTAAGTGACCAAGTCTCTGCCCAAGTAGCCTTGGGGCCTGCTGCTGTGTGTCCTTTGTCAAAGGTAAGAACTTCGGTGCTGGGTAACCTGTGGGGCCTTGTTACCCTGAAAGCTCCACCCTGACTTTGAGTCTGGAGGTCCCGTAGATTGGAGGGGTCTTCAGAAAAGGGCTTACCGAGCTCCAGGCAGCTGAGGACCCCAAGGATAAACCCCATCACATGGTACAGAGGCAAGACTGTGTAGACCACGTCATCAGCTGTGACCCCACCCAGGGACAGCATCTTGCACATCTGCAGCAGTCGCTCATGCGTGACAATGGCCGGCTTTGGGAGCCCTGGGGAATGGAGTGGGAAGGGTGGGTGGTGAAAGGACAGCACATAGGAGTGGGTCTCCGTGGTCAGGGGCTTGAGGCTCTTAGGAGGTGTGCAAGTATGGGGATTAGTGGGTGGGCTCAGGGAAGAAAAATTGGATTTGGGGTTCAGAGGGTAAATTCCAAAGCTCAGGTAGGGTTTCAGTGGCTGTTTACTGGGCAGAGGCAAGATTCTGGCACTGACCAGTCAAAACACATTGGGGGTCAGAGTTCAGGCCAAGTGTCACAATCAAAGGGTAGGATGGGTTTCAGAGGTCAAGTTTGAGGCACATGTCAAGCTTGGGGTTAGGGCAGCATTAGGGTTCAGAGGTCAGGGCTAGGGTTGCTGGGCACCCTCACCAGTGGTCCCTGAGGTGTAGATAAACAGGGCAGGACTCTGTGGTGTGATCCCAGCACGTAGGTCAGTGGGCACAGGGTCGGTGGGTGCAACATCAAGAGCAGGCCCCAGAGCCCCCACTCCTGGTGTTGGGGAAGAATGGCTGAGGTAGAAGCATCGGATGTTCTCTGCCTGTAGCTTGGGAAGTACCTCTTCCAGGTTCTCCCGGAGGTCTGCAGGGACAGGTCAGAAGAGAAATTGGGGAGAGGCCCACATTTGAGGTCAGGAGGGGAGACCCGAGACCCAAAGATAGAGCCCCATAATTAGTATTTGTTGGCAAAAAGGATTAAAACAGGGGCGCCTGGGTGGCTCAGTCAGGCTGAGCCAACTCTTGGTTTCAGCTCAGGTCATGGTCTCGGGGTCCTGGGATCGAACCCTGAGAGCACTGCATGGGGCTCTGCGCTCAGCGGGGAGTCTGCTCAAGGGTTCTCTCTCCCTCTTCCTCGGCCCCTACCCCTGCTCACTCTCTAACATAAATAAATAAATAAATCTTTTTTTTAAAGATTTTATTTATTTGACAGAGAGAGAGCACAAGCAGCGAGAGAAGCAGGTTCCCCACTGAGCAGAGAGCCTGACGTGGGACTCAGTCCCAGGACCCTGGGATCATGACCCGAGCTGAAGGCAGAGGCTTAACCCACTGAGCCACCCAGGTGTCCCTAAAGTAAATAAATCTTAAAAAAAAAAAAAAGGATTGAAACAAACATGAAAAAAAACCTCTGGTGCCCTCATAATTACTTTCCAGCAATTAAGCTTTGACTGTAATTGCCTGTGAGGGTAGGTAGGAAGCAAGGATCTCCTTGCCTAGCCCCCCACCAGGACCCTCTGTCCTCTTCTAGCCTCTGGGTTCCTCACCTGGGTCCACCACCAGCAGCCGAGCCCCAGAGCTCAGCACTGAGTGCACCAGGGGTGCTCCCCGGCCATGCGGATTGATCCAGGCCACGGGGCAGCCCAGCTTGGCCAATCCCAGCCACAAACCCAAGGCCGGAATGGTCTGGGCGTCCAGCACCAGGAGGGCAGCCGACTCCCCGCCAAGCAAGCCTGTGAGGCCGCCCAGCTCGGCCTTCAGGGCCCACACTGCCTGGCATGCCCTGTCGTCCAGCTCCCTGAAGGTGACTGAGCGGCTCCCTGGCCCCTTCCACACCAAGGGCGTGCGACCCGGCTGTGCTCGTGCTCGTCGCTCGAAGGTATCCACAAAGGTGTCGGGCGGGTGGCGTCTCATGCGCACTCTGACAACCAGGCCCAGGCGGAGGATCCTGGCAATATAGGCCATATCTGCAGGCAGCCAGCGCAGCCCTGGGGGCGGCCGTGCGGGCAGCAGAGCCAGTGTGAGCGCCGCGGCTGCCAGACTCAGCCAGTGGGGCATCCAGGGCCAGAGCCAGGGCTGCGCCAGCAGGGCCAGGCCAAGCAGCACGCAGAAGATGGAGTCTCCCAGGAGCCAGCGCAGTGCCAGGGCCACAGCCGCAGGCCACGGGGGCTGCCCCAGAGCCCACAGCACCAACAGTAACAAGGCTAGTCGCAGCCAGATGCCCATGGCGCCCGCTCCCTCCTCAGAGAAGTGTCCACAGACTGCTAGTAACTTCTGCCAGGGGCTGCCTGGCCCAGATCTCTGACCCCTTAGTCCCGCCCCCACCCCCACCCCCTGACAGTGGCCCTGGAGGTGTTGACAGCAAGGCTTCTGGCCTCAGGACTCCACCCCCCAGCCCTTTTTAACCCGACTTGTTTCGCTGTGCCTACCTCTAGCCAGGTATGTGCCTGGCACTCCGCAAATAGTTGAAGGAACAAAATCAGTGCCTAAATTCAAACCCAGTTCTGATATCCCCACCCCCTCCCATATGCTGGGCTGAGTCTGCCCCACCCCCTGGCATCCATGGGGTTCAGGAGGCTAAACTCCCCCCGCCCAGAACGTGGGCAATGGTTGGACCGGAAAGCCTTAGCCCTTCACCTCTGGGAGGCAGTCACAGAGGGGGAGCTCAGAGAGGCGGTGCCATTGACCTGGGAGCCCGCAGGTCTTCAGTTCAAACCCCTCTCCTCCTGCTCCAAATCCTTAAGACAGGATGCCCAGGGTCAGGTGCCGCCAATGCTCTGGAAGCAGAAGAGTGGCTGCTTTCTGGGCTGGCAGCCGAACTGATGCGGAGTCTCGTGACACTGGTTTGCTACGAGGGATCAGTACCTTCAGCCCCCTGGTTAGCAGCCCAGGGGTCCTGGCTGCTTCTCCCCTTTTGCCCCACCCCCCGCCTTACACTTCAGAACTTACCCGCCAGGGTAGGCATCCTGGAGCTCAGATCCCCACATGGCAGCCTGGCCTCAAAGACTCCCTGGACACCTTCCCCACCACCCCAAAGTAAGGTGCTCAACCATCATGCCCATCAGGTTGGGGGAGGGGAAGCCTAGAGTCCAAAGGGCCTTGAGATTCCAGCGGGAAGGGCCTCGAAGTCTGCATCTTTCCCACATATGGCTTCTTTCTTCTAGATGCACCTCAGGGCTGGCCTGTACCTCTCCCCATAGGACGAAGGGCTCTAGAAGAGTCAAGTGCCAGTCATATGTGCATCCCACTTCCTCCTGGAGAACAGAGGCATGAGCGGCCAAGTGGATCATCCTGTCTCTGCCCAGGGAGCCTGGGAGGTTAGGGTTAGCTGCCCAGGGACGGGGGCACTGAGCCCCGAGGCCCACAACCAGTCTGTGATGATGAGAAATGCACGGGTCTGGGAGCTCACAGCTTCCGAGTTTGGAACCCATGGCCCCAGTATTTTATTAGAGAGTGGGAGTCCCAAGGCCCTGTCCCAGTCCATGATGGGTCCACCTGAGCCCCCTAGACGCCAGACTGAGGAAGGGGTACGGTGGGGAGCCAGGGATCATGCCCAGCTCGACACTGGGGCAGAGGAGCAGCTCCAGAACCCACCCCACTCAAGCCACAAATCTTGGGCCTGGCCCAAGGGTCTCTGAGTTTAGACTGGAGATGATCCAGTTCTCAGGGGTGGTCGGGTCCCTGACCAAACCCAGCCCCAGCCTGCCACCGTCAGGAGGGTCTAAGTACGAGGGAGGAGAGGAGTAAGGCAGGCCGGACCCCTGGTCAGGTCTGGGGGAAAGGGTGGAAGCAGAGGGAAGGCCTGCGCTCTGGGGAAAGTGTGGTTTGGTGGTGGGAATGTGGTCCGGGCGTCTAGGCAGGGATGTTACCGGTCCCGCGGTGGTTGTGGCCTAGTTCCACGGGACGTCCCTAACCCGGCAGAGGGTGGCCTACTGCGCGGGATCGTGGTCAATCCTGTGGTGGGCGTAGCCAGGCCCAGAACTGGATCAGGGCGCAGGGTGCGCGGCCAGGTGGCGCTCGAGCAGCGCGCGGTGTGAGAAGACCTTGCCGCAGGCGGGGCAGGGCGCGCGCTCGGGCCGGTGCGTGCGCATGTGCACGTTGAGTGAGCTCTTCTGCGTGAAGCGCTTGGCGCAGACAGCGCACTGGAAGGCGCGCACGCCTGTGTGTGTGACCATATGCTTCAGCAGGTAGTCGCGCAGTGAGAAAGATCGCCAGCACACGGCGCATTGGTGGGGCTTCTCCCCTGTGGGCGACAGGGCGTGCCGCGCACGTATGTCAGCTGGGAAGGGGCCCCGCCCCGGGAATCTTTGTCTGGCAGGGACTCCCCTCTCCTCCCGGGCTGCCCATCAACCCGGAATCCCCCTGTCCATTAGGGACACTCCCTTCCCTCCCGGACCTTCCTGCCCAGCAGGGACACCGCGCCCCCCCCCC